TTTTTTTTTTTAAATATTTCGCTGAACTATGGGTTTTAATGTACCCCTACTAAAACACACACACACTCACACTCACACTCACATACATATGCACAAGTAGAAGTTAGGTCTAGAAGAGCAACAGAGCGTGCTTTTTCTGGAAGTTGCGGTGAAGGCACTTCATCCATCTACAGCTTTTTCCTATTTTTCTTCCAGTTCGACGTCTCAGACTCTTTTAATTGCGTGGGCTTAGCGTAAATACTCTCTAATTTTTCACTCATACACGTATACGCATACAAACACACATATACGCATAAATACTAGGTGTTCCTTCATTTTTTTGTTTGTTTGGTACATTTTTGTTTCGCTTTGTTCTTTTTTTTTCTTTTAAAGACGTGTGCGGACACTAATTTCATCCTAATACAACAAACAACGACGTCATCTCTAAAGCATTAATTTCAGAAAACGATAACAACAGCAGGAGGTGAGTAAAATATGTCAGCAGTGGTCACCCGCAAGCGTGGTCGTTCGCAGTCAGCAGAGAAGCAGCAACAGCAGCAAGAACGCCGGGATACAGCTCACCCGTCAAAACGCGACAACGTACACGAAGATGAGAAGTCCGCCATTCGACACCTAGTGACGTCCATTCTACAGGACTGGCAGGGCGCGCAGCGACTTCTCAAGGAAGACATTATACGTACTGTTCTACGCCGTGTACGCCCGGTACTTATGTCACAGCCTATGTTGGTAAGATTGGAGGCCCCTGTAAATGTATGCGGTGACATTCATGGTCAGATTAATGATCTCGTAGAGATTTTCCGCGCTGGTGGTATGCCGCCTGCATCACGGTACTTGTTTCTTGGAGACTATGTGGATCGGGGTAAGTATGGCACCGAGGTGATTATTGTGCTTCTTGGACTGAAAGTGCTGTACCCTGACAAAATGTACATTCTGCGCGGTAACCATGAGTCTGACAGTATTTGTAGAATTTATGGCTTCTTCGATGAGGTTAAAAGACGTTTCTCAGTGAAGCTGTTTAAGGAGTTCACAGATGTTTTTAACTGTCTCCCCATTGCCGCCCTTATTGAGGAGATCGCTCTCTGTATGCATGGTGGTCTGAGTCCAGAGCTGCAGCACCTGGAGCAGATCAACCAAATCAGGCGTCCGCTGGTGGTGCCGGATATGGGATTGGCGTGTGATATTCTCTGGTCTGACCCGGAGGAGAACAGCAGCGGTTGGCTGCAAAGCGAACGTGGTGTGAGTTACACATTCGGCGAAGATGTTGTGCGGCGCATGTGCGAGAAGCTGAACATCGACATTGTGCTGCGTGCCCATCAGGTGGTTGATAACGGTTACGCCTTCTTTGCAGATAGGCGGCTCGTGACAATCTTTAGCGCCTCAAATTACTGTGGAGAGTTCACGAACAGCGGGGCTATGATGGTAATGGACGAGACGTGCAAATGTAGTTTTCAGATATTTAAACCACAGTACTAAAGAGGATTTCTGTTTTTTTTTTGTTTGTTTTCGTATGCAGGTCTAATGAACTATATTTTTTTTTTTGTCTTTCTTTTTATTTTTAAAAAGAAAATACGACAAAGAAAAAATGAGAATGATTAAACGCTTATGTGTGTAAAAGTGAGTGAAAAGAGACATTGAATAGAAATGGCAGCAACAGAGGAAGAAAAGGGAAAAGGAAAAAGAAAGGAAGGGATGAAAAAAAAAAAAGAGGAAGAAGTGTTTATATAAAAAAAAGTTAAAAAAAAAACAAATAACATGAAAGAATACGAGCAAATAAGAGAAAGATTATACATGAAGAAAATTATAGGAGAAGGAAGAAGATCACGAAAAGAAAAAAGAAAAATAAAAAAAAAACGAATAAAACTAAAAAGAAAATGTGAGGAACGCATTTGTTTTTAAATGCTTCTTGTTAAGCTCAGGCAGACACACTTCTTTCAGGAGATGTGCACACTAATGTCTTTTTCACTTTTCATTATTGCTTCTCCTTCTTACACTTATACGGACACCCATACACACAAATTATACTTATGTGAAGTATTAGAAAATAGGGAAGTGAGAATATGTGAGTAGGGAGATTCTTACTGTATTGGCACATCTTTTTTTTTTTTTTTATCACTCACTCTGTTTCTCTATTTTTCTCCGTCTTTATGTATTAGTGTTTTTTGTGGATATGACTGTATCCATTGCTGTGTCTCTCTTTCTTTCTTTTTTTTTTTTTTTTCTCTCCGTGTGTGAGTGTGTAACTGTCAAGAGGGTTTCCTTCGTTGCAGCTATTGGACATTCTCTTTAGTTGATGTGGGGTTTCCGTGACATTAACTCAGCATCCTTCATTTTTCTTCTTCCATGATTAACTCTTCTTCTTTTTTTGTTTGACTTTCTTCACTCTTTTTCTTTTTATCTTTTTTTTTTTCTTTCTCGTTTTTTTTTTCTTTTTCGGTTAGGGTTTTATCCTTGCCGTTCCATGTTGATTTACTGTTCCCTCCCCTGTTATGGTAGAATCATTAATGCCACATCTACCTCTCTTCTCTTTCCTCTTTTTGCTCTTTTCCTTTTCCCTCGTGCTGCCGCCAAAGTCCAGGAGTCATCGGTGACGAGCCAAGCACACTCACTCACACACACACACACTGTGAGAAGAAGGACTAATCCTGCAGAATGGTGTTGCCTAGCCGAAAGAACGTTGACCGCCGCAGCCGCAAGGGCGCCGGAAAACACCGCCCCGACGTGGTGGTTCTCGATCTGAAGAATCACGTGCTCGGTCGCGCCGCAGCCATCGTTGCAAAGCAGTTGCTGCTCGGAAAGAAGATCACTGCCGTGCGCTGCGAACAGCTTAACATTGCCGGAACAGAGATCCGCAACAAGATCAAGTACCTTCAGTTCCTCCGCAAGCGTAAGCTGTCAAACCCCAAGCTCGGTCCCTTCCACCACCGCAGCCCCTCTGACATCTTTGTCCGCACCGTGCGCTCCATGCTCCCCCGCTACACCAAGCGTGGACAGAAGGCACTCCGCGCACTCGTGGCGTACGAGGGTGTTCCCGTCAACGTTGTGCGCACCGGCGGCCGTGTGGTGATCCCAAAGGCCCAGCGTCACTACTGCTTCCGCAGCGAACGCCCCTACACTGTTCTGGGCAACATGTGCAAGCATGTGGGTTGGAAGTACAGCGAGGTGGTGGAGAACCTTGAGAAGGCCCGTGTGGAGAAGGCAGCACGTCACCACAAGAAGACAGAGAAGCTGCGCGCTGCATGGAAGTCTGCCCGCAAGGCGGCTTTGGCAAAGATGCCCAAGAAGAACGTGGAAGTGCTGAAGAAGTTCGGCTACGCGTAATTCAAAGTTTTGATACGCAAGGGCAGTGATGGGTTCTTTCTTTCATTTTGTGATGACACCTAGACCTTACACTTCATTTTCATTTTCATCTTCCTTTAGGGAAAGCGAAGTAATAGCCTTGTTTCTCTGCTTCCTTTTGCTTTCTGGATTTTCTTCTTTTTGTGTTTATGGTTCTCTGATGGCCTCCAGAAACGGAGACCCTGTTACCTTCCTGCTCTTGATATTCAATTTTTCCCTTTTCTCTTTTTTTTTTTCTTTGCACCGTGTTTCCTCGCGGATATATATATATATATATATATATATATATATAATTAAGTTTTGAATTCCTTTAAGCTGACTCCTGTTGTAGTTGCTTGGGAAAAGGAAGAGGAAAGAAAAGGAGGTGTGAGAAGAGGAAACAAGTAGTTGACGTTGAGGTGAGCAAAGGAAGAAAAATAATTTTTTTAAAAAAATGAGTAGGGAACCGCATAGCATCAACACAAGCAATGGTGCTCCACAGCGGTATGCCGCGTCTAACAGAGGTGCTCCGTACCAACGCAATCGTCCTCTTGTAGTTGCTAACGGTGCCAACACACCAGTCCCTCAGACAGAAAGTAGCAGTCGTGGTCCCAGACGTTTGACATTCAATAACTTTGCCACATTTAATCCACGTGAAAAGAAGCTTCCACCAGATGCTAATACACAGGCGGCATTAAATACAAAACTCTGGCAACTGCCTGAACGAGCTTCGTTTTACTGCAATAAATGTCGTCGCGATAACATTATTTCTGATTCACTTGGTGTAGATGCTGTACATCATGTAATGCTTTGTACGAGGTGTTTTACTCGTATTATTCGACCACGTACCTACCGCCCAAGTCGCGTTGTACCTTTTCCATCTCTTCTTTCATGGCTCAACTATAAACCATTAAAGGTAATGGAAATGACTGATGACGTGGTCAGCCGCCCTGCTGAGGCCGTAGCACCATCCGGTGAGCGTATAGCTGTACCAACGCTCGGTGGTGGTGATCGTCCCACACGTCTTCAGAATCTCCCTGCCATAGCAATGAACACAGTTCCATCTTCACGTGGTGGTGCGGGTTCAGCTAATAGAGGACCTTCTGCCTTGAATCGTCATCATCAGCAACAACCACAACAACAACCACACCAACAACAACAGCAGCAACTGCAGGAAGATGAAACTCATCCCTGTCGACGTGTATGGGGTAGTTGTGTGCATGGTGAGACATGTCTCTTTCGTGGTGCACCCTACGATTTGTGTATTTGTTTCTTGATGGGTTTGTGCTCTGGTGATGACACCAAGTGCCGATTGCTGCATCAGCGCGTGTTTGATCTGCCAAGTGCGGCGGATCCAATGCCGGCGCAGCGGGGTCCCGGGGATTTGGATGACCCTCAGAGTGAATGGAGCAAGTGGATGGCAAAGAAGATGAACAGTCCAAATTCAGCAGAGTGGCAGTTGTGGAACAATGGGCCGGTGATTGATCTGATCAATGTGTACGCACCGGTGACTCTCAGTGAAAAGACGACGGATGATGCGGCGAGTAGTAGTGGTGGTGGTGGAAGGGCGGCAATTAAGTTAAACTTCGCTGACATATCTGCAGCTCTCCGTGGACTCAAACAATAACAATCAATCTGAGAAAGAAGAAGAAAGAAGAGTATAAAGGAGGGGAGTAGGGGTGAAAAAAGGAGTAAAAACGTCTGTATCTTGAAGTTTACACCTGTCGTCAAATATACGCTGCCTTCTTTTTTTTTTCTTTTGTTTGACGTTCTTTTTCTACATCATGATATTATTCTTTTTAGAGAAAAAAAATATATGTCTATATATGTATATATGTGTACGATAGAGAAATAATGTTTTCTTTTTTTTCCTCCATTTTCTTTTCTTTTCTTATTAACTCGTTCCATCTAATTATCGTACTAATCTATCGATTAATCAACCCACATACACACGTATACAAAAGAATGACTTCGAAAGTTGTGTCATTTATGTTTCAGAATCTGATTTAACGAAAGTAAACATAAAATAAAAATAAAAATGCGGCGCTGTCTACTTACACGTACGGCAAATGTACTCCCCTCAACCTTCCACAACAGCAAGAGCGCCACTCCTTCTCGTCCATTCGTTGCAGTGCCTAAGGTAGACACTGATGAGGAGTCGTACCTGCAAATGGCGCATGAATTAACACTTCTCTCATCAGATGAGTTTGCCCGACGACTTTATCGCTTTAGTCGAACAAATTTTGATCCTAACCATACAGTGGCAGTTCATGCCCACGTGTCTGAACTGCTTCGCCGACGCATACATGAGATGAGTGTCAAATGCATTCGAGAATACGCTCATTTAGCGCATGTCGCTAAGCTTCATGATCTTTGTCTACAGGTATATTATGCCCGTGCAAACCTTACGATAGACCCTTCCTCTCAAGAGAATGATGAAACCAATGGAGGGAACTTTGCGGTCTCTGATTCTGTTGTGGATAGTGCATATAACCTTGCCAGTAGCAGTGATTTGGTTCGTCTAGCCTCATATTGTGTGAAACACCTGCAACATGTTCCATCTATTAGTTGGGGAGTAATGAGTGCCTTTTCACTAGTTCGAGCATTTTGGCGTTGTATCTGTATTGCTTCAAAGAATTGTAGTACACATTCTACAGAGTCTAAACAAGCTCTTGATGACGCAGCCTACATTTATAATGAGTGTATAGCGTTGGTTTATCCTGACCCCTCACGAGAACTCAGCACTCAGAATATCATACGTACTGTGCAAAGATTTGTAAAGTATGCTTCATCTGGAGACGAAGGTGAAATGCTTTTCTTTCATTTCTGTCTCAAAAAAGGATTCCTTCGTAGGCCACGGGATATGATAAGGCAGGATCCTGGTGTTGGTAGTGGTGATGATGGTGGTAGTGGTAGAGGTAGTGGTATCATACTGGAAACTGGAAACAATGTAATTAACAACAACAAGATTAATGAAGGGGGACGAGTTTCTGAGGAGCAATGGTTCTACGCTAGTCTTATCGCTACATGTCGTGCTGGTCATCATGTACATACAGCATTACGATATTTTGATGATATTGGGTCATTTTTAGGTGTTGAACAAGTAAGCTGTGATGACCTCCTTCGACCCCATTCACGGAATATGCAACAAGAAGTGAGTGTGACTGAACGAGAAAATAACAAGGAAAGGACGATGAATAGGAGATCAGTAGAAAAGGTTTCAGAGTATCTTATTTTTCAATTGTTGACTGTGCTTCAGGCAGCAAAAGATAATGGGAAAATTGTCTTTACTGCGCGAACTATGTTACGTGATGGTGCTCAATTAAGTATAAGTGTCTGGAGTATTGTGCTCATTGCAGCAGGAGAAACACGAGCTGTGGATTTAGCCATTGCCGCATATACACAAGCCAAAGATGCCTTAGTAAACTCTGATCAAACTTTAGACAGACGCGGAAATGAATATCTGTTACAGACGGCTATTCACGCCCTATCCAAGTGTCAGGTTCCCCGATTTGAAGAAGAATACCTGCGACCTTGTTTGGAACAAAATTTAGTGCACTGTACTAATGAGTTCTATTTTTGCGTACTTCTGCAGCACGCTCATAACTCAACAGACCCTGCAGCAGGAGCAGAAGACGTCTTGCAGGCTATGAAAGAGAAAGGAACCCCTCTAACTACCCGAGTAGTGTCAAGATTGATGAAGATATACTTGCGTATAGAGTCACCCAAGTTGTTGGAATTATATCAACATGCCACACAACGACTTGGTACATTTAAATCTTCTTGGTTAGATGAATTACTCCTCTGGGCAGATCGTCGTCGCTACAATCTTACAACCGAGGAACGCAAATACATATTAGATGAAGTGCAACGCGTGCATGGTATAAAAGGTGCAGAAGGTGATCTTGGAGGACTACGCACACAGTATGCACTCTTACGCTATGACTACGAACACAACCCACGGGAGGTTTTTGCTCGCACTTTTAACCCACCAATAACGGAACCTAATATCACAGACTCACGTGTTCATTTTCTTATTAAAAAACCTCACTGTGTGCTTCATCATCATACATTCCGCGAGCACAACGCCAACCCTACAACGCAACCTCTTTTAGGAGATCCCGAGAGGACTCAAAAATACCTGCGTTGTGCTATGCTCTCCAGTGAAGGCGTTACTACAGCGAAAGGAGACATACGCACCGAAGCATTTCGAGTTTACATGGGACAAATGCTTCAAACGCTTCAAATAAAGAATAATTACGCTGAATAGTTGTTATCAATAATGTCAATTAGAGCAAAGAAAAAAAAAAAAAAACCAAGAAAAGGGATTAAACTATAAAGCAGAAAAAACCTCCTCAGAAAGTGTTAATAAATTCTGTAGGTTATGTGTCAAAAATACTGTAAATTGTGCTGTTTTCTTTCCTCCTTCTCGCCTTTCACAGTAAATAAGTCTAAAGCGATCCCCTTCGAACCCGGCTGCACGAAAACTATGATCTGTGCTCGTGTATTTGTCTTGATCCTTGCAATCGTGGCCACGGCGTGTGCTGCGTGTGCAAACGTCTTTGCGGTATTTCAAAAGGAAGTTGCTGGAGTCAAGACGATTCAGACACTGTGGTATTCTAAGGTGTCTGCAGGCCCTTCTGATACCGTGTCCAAAGTGGCTGACAGTGTCTGTGCACAGTTCAAGCTGTTCTTCACTGTCTGTGAGGGCGTTACCGTGGGAGCGGCTGGTCTCGGCTTCATCGTTGTTCTTCTTGCCATTGTCCGGTTGTTTACGGGACCAGCACTTTGCTTCCTTAAATGTTTAATATCCTTTCTGCTCTCTCTTGCGTTCGCCGCTTCTGGGGTTTGTGTGGCACTCGTTGTCTACGGATACTTGAAGGGCTACTGTCAGGACGATGCGATACTCGCCCCTCTGTATCTCCCCTTCAAGGAATCAGGCTTCGACTTCTGGGTATCGTTTTACCTTATATGTATTGCGTGTGGCCTGTTTATGATTACCAACCTCTTTCAGTGCTGCGCGTAGACACACATAAGGGAGTCTCTCTGCACTGCTTGTAGTCTGCACCTTGTGCCCCTTGGGGTTGGCCCTGTTACGTGGGCAAGCACCTGCTGGTACATACTGGTAGAAATCAAGCATTGGAGTGATACCCTTTTAATTTACTCTCCCATTTTTTTTTTTCTCTTCTTTCACCTAATCATCTGTCTTCCAGTGTTTTTTTTTTTAATGACTTGTAGAGAAAATATGCATCTTTATTTTATCTATTTCAATCAAGGTACAGAGAGTGTTTTCACGTTCATCTTTCCAATT